TTAAAAGGTAATTTTTCATGCCTTCGTTTAGGTGGTTATGCGCAACTGCTAGAATTACCAAAATCTGCACTCAGTATTTGTCATTTAGGTTTGCTCTTACAATTTCTCATATAATGCAGAACTACAACCGTGCAATAATTATATTACACTATAAAGTGTATAAAAATGATTTTTATGATTTATTGATGAGTTAATTGTATTGCTTGCCTGTTTACATATAATTAGCTAATATCCCTTCAGTAAATCTTTGTAAACGAAGAAGAGAGAACTCATCAGACATCACTAATGCCGTGTCCCTTACTATTGTCGCAGTGTGCATGGTAACATAAAGAAAATTCACTTCGAGTGGATCGACTCATAAATGAATAAGTTGCTTGATATAACTGACCAATATTTAAATCAATTATTTAACGAGAAAGCTATCCTCGGTGATTCGTCTGACATTTGTAAGCGAACATAACAATAGCAAATCACAAGCAACTATAAAATATGTTATTTCCGATAAAGTGCCAATGTTTTCACTTCTTGCGCTGGTCTGAAATCCCTTATAAATAAATGGCGAGTTTGTTCTTGGTACTGCACTACAAATTATCTGGCAACACATTGTATTCGTTTTTACGATATCTGTAAGTCATGTTGGGTTTAATGTTAATCAAAATATCCATTTATTTTTAAATTGCAGGCAGAAAATATATCTGAAACGTGTTTGTTCTACTGCTGTCCATGCTCTTTAACATGCAGCAAGCGCAAGAGAAACACAGATGATTGATTATTTAAAAGTCTCAATTATGCCGTCACGAATTTTAAAAAATTCTCCTTTTCTCAAAAAAGTTTACGAGTCCAATTAGAGTCCAAAAGTCCTTTTATGTGTTCTTTTATCTCCCATGCTCTGCCTTTCATTCAATCAATTAAAACTCTGTGAAGGTGGTACATAAAGGAATTCAATTTGATAGTTAAACCAAAATTATCTCCAAAACCTAGCATAGTTATATCTTATTATATTATGTGTTTGCTCGCTAACAATTAGTTTTTCATGCTGTTCTACATTCAGACTTGTAACGCGGTTTCTTGAGGAATGCACTGTGCCGCACACGCATTTAGCGGTTCCCTCACCGAGGTTTATTACCGCAATCATCAGGGGCAGCAGTCAGCGCAACATGGGCCTAGAATGGTTAAGAAAAAATAAAAAACCTGGTAGGGATGCTGGCGTTGTCTACTTCGCTGACGACGATAACACGTACGACCCGAGGGTTTTTAAAGAGGTAGGTCAAATGCTGGATCCATTTTATCCATAAAGAACCATTACGCACATTTTTTGATGTTTTCGTACTCACATGCTCTGTATTTGTTCGATACAAATAACGTGAATACGAACCTACTTTAGAAAGGCACGACAAAATACGTCGGCTAATTCTCTGAGAATACAGTTTATTAGCGATTGTACACACATAGGACTAATTTCTATGAACACACCGGGATCTTAGTAGTAATCCTTTCAAGCGTGATGGCGTGAACGAGGAAGCCAGTTGGCAAGCATATGTAATGAAAGTTAAGGATTAAGGGTGTTGCGTAATGCTTTGTATAACAAGGTATTTATCGACCTCTTTGTCCTAACATTTTATTTCTTTGCCTTTTATACACCAGCAGAAGTATATATGCCTACAATGATAATTATGATAATTATCATCACCATTATTGTTATACAATTTTAGAATATTTTCGTCTGGTTATATATTTATATTCCGAGAAATTCGGAAATGAAACATGCAAAAAACACTAACTTCTTTCAAGTTCCTTTTGGATATTTTAAAATGCAAATTTGAAATTCGATTAGGTGGAATTTCCTCTAAGGGTTGAAACCAAAGAGACATAAAAAGAATCAGATATGATCACTGGGGCAAGGACCTTATTTGCCATGACAGCAGGTCTTTAGGTTTAATTACTTGATGCCATTGGGTGGCCTCCGGCCTGTCTGTGACCATGCAACAACGAGGCGTCAGATAATGAAACCAGTAGATGCACTGCCATGGCAAGAAACATCAGAATTCGTCAATGGTATCTCTCACAATTGCAGACAAAGCAACTACATCTGGCAAACTGGAAAACTTTCCGAGAAGCGAATTGCCGAGCATGTGACAGTCGTGAGGAGAAATGACGCCAATTCTTAAGTCGCAGATCATTCGACAAGATCCGGCACCCAATCAAATTTGCTGAAGCCAAAATTCTCGCGATAGGTGACAATTGTGAGTCGTGAGTTACTTGAGTCATGGTTCACGGGCCCCCAAGGGCAGTGATCCGTCCAATTCATATTGGATGCTCAGGTTCAGTTTGGCCGAAGCCATTTGCCACTCTGGGACGCACAGGCGACAAATGTTCCAACGCCGGTGCCAGGGTACCAGATGGCCAAGCAATTATCACACCCAATCCATCGCCGGTGATTAAAGTTCAGCATGTCACGACCCGCAGGCTGGCCGTCGAGTGTTCGATTCAGAAACGAGCAACTATCCTCGATAGGGGGGACGTTAGTTGTAATAATTATACGGTAGCAGAGCGACTGTATTCTATAAATACTGCAAATCCCTGTGTATGAATTACCCGTTTCTGCTAATGTCTACGTGGATGTATCCGCGACGGATTTCGAAACCTCAGATGAATAAAATTATTGCCACAGTGGCCCCAGGATACAGGATACCATAGGTTGTTCTTCTGTTAATGATTTTTTTCAAAGCTAGTGGCCATCTAAAATTTGTATATTTCGCCAAATAATTAGTATTTATATGATGTGATGCTTGGCGATCACCTTCCTCTAGCACTATACATAATCTGTAGGCCTTTGTACTGAATTACCAGAAAAGCGAATAGCGCTGGGGCAAGCAATTCATTAGTCGATAGTTGTAGTCGAGACACTAATAGTGGCCCGCCTAAGACGCAAAAGAACCGCATTTCGATGTTCTCAAATCTGACTAAACATATTGATAATGATAGAACTTGAACTTTAGAGGAAGTATATTGTTGCAATGATTTTTTTATTTATCCGTTCTAGCATTTTACTTCTTCTCAGACACTGCATGAGATTTGACCCACCAAATTATAATATACGAAACATCGACTGAGCTAGTTCGTAAAGGTTGAATCTCTTAGGTTGATTTCTCCTTTATCAAACCGCGTGAATTATGATTAGAAAGTGGTCTACCATAAAAGCCATATCAGTGAATGATTTGCCGCGGATCAAGTACTCTAGCTTTATTAGAATGGTTTTTGTATTGTACATCGCGGACAATCCCTCATTCATATTCTCTTAGTTTTCTCTGTCCTACAAAGTTGCCAAACCTTAGTTTTTAGTAAATCCGCAAATGTCTATGAGAAAAGGCCATGGCGACTTTTCCTAGTACCAATTCCTCCAAGCCTGTCTTGTTTTGTGGCTCTAGAAAGAACCTAGGATTCTAACCTGATTGCTAATAGTGAGTCATCTATTGATTTCAGTTGTCTGCCATAGACAACCGAATGCTCTGCGTCAGTCCTTAGGGTAGAATTTAATGCAACTGATCACAAAAGAGTTCATTATCCATATGCGGAAATCTCAGTTTCCTCGAAGCAGAGTAAACGATTCAAATCTTTCCACGGCTTTCCCCCTTCCTATGCACGTTTTCCCTCAACGTCAATATATGTGGCTTTTTGCGTTTCAGATGCGGACAACCAAACGTGGCTCAACATGGCCCGTAGGGCTCGTAGGTGGAATTGCGTGGGAAGGCTGTGTAACAAGCAGTGAAGATCGAAACAAAATTGTGGAATTTTGGGCCGTTTTCAGACGTACTCGCAAGTTTCCTCTCGACATGGCGGCCTTTGCGATCAACCTGAAACTGCTTTTTATGTATCCTGAGGCGAAGTTTGATTACTCCAGTGCGGGTCAGCAGGAGGGCCTTCTTCTTGCTCAACTAGGATTTAAGAGCGCCTTCGAATTGGAACCAAGGGCCAGCGGATGCACAAAGGCGAGTTTAGATAATGCTGGTAAAATCTGCCAAAGCCCCCATTAGTTTTCTGCATAAGTAAACATCCGGTCGTTATTTTTACTTTGCAAAAGGTTAATGGTCGAAGAAATCATACTGCATTGCAGTTTAAAGGTATCATTTGTATCTGCCGGACGTCGGCTACATTACTTATCTCCTGAAATGCAACTGAAGTTTGCTTTAAAACGTATAAATGTTCATAAGATTGGCTAAAATTGGTTTCGAAATCGAATACGATGAGGAAAGTGGAACTCTCTAGTATGTAACATAACCTCCAAATAATACGTGCTGCCTATTACTTCGAACTTGATATCTAGCGATAAAACTCCCGTTTGATGAAGGTCACTACTTAAGAAATGTTGGTTTATACTGATTTGTGACTTTTATACGAACGTAGGCTCATTTTTCTGAATTTCTGCGTAAAAATATGGTCTCCAATATGTGTTTTCTAAAAAAAACACCTTCTGTATACATATTGCCTGATGCAAACATTAGCGCAGTTTAGCAAAATATTTTTATTATGGAGTTTTTTGAGAATGTGCGTGACAGGCAGTATAGGTGACCACTGAGAATACTTATTAATTCAGCCAAATGTACGTATTTTAATCCCTGTACATAAGCATATAATAATCAGTGTTAAAAACCTCACTATCGGAAGTGTAACACGTTTATAAATTTGGTCTGTTCTTAGAAAATCAGCCAGAACACAAATTGTATTTCAAAATATAAAAAAATGGTAAGCATGTGAGAGTCAGTAACTCCGCTTAATTTCCAACTTAAAAAATAGTGGAACGTTTCATAGAATGAAACTTGCATGTCTTTCTAAGAAATATATTTAGTTTTAAACGAATATTGAAAATAATTTGTAAAATACACTTTTTATTGTTATATATTTACTGTAGCTAAATTATGCACGTGGATGGAAGGTATAAGACTTAGAAATAAGAATTGTGTTGTGTGGGACATGGGAGCAAAGAGTATTCCTCACAAAACTCTTCCTCGTCTGCTTATGCGTTACTCTTATAAGAGATATATATCTGTTTTGCCCATATTACAGCAAGGAAATGTTTACTTTAACGGGTACATATGCAAGGGTATCATATAGCCGTTCTTGGATTTCTCTTTGTCAACTTGATTACCTCTCCCACAAACATATGGATTTCTTTGGTATCTATTATCTCTTTCCTACCATGCTTTATCTTTTTCCCTCTTTTCCGCACCGATCAAACACTAATTTTAACAATCAATTTAACAAAAATATCGAACTTCTCACCCATTTTGAGGACTCTGTACCGCCAAAAGTTAGATCTATCGAGTGTAAGCCGTGTTCTTTTGCGTTCTGTTTCGAAACTTGATATATTTAAGCATTCATTAAGGCTAATTTTGCGTAATGACTGTCTATGATTAGTCAAACTTAGCAGAATTTGTTTACCAAAATTTGCAATAAAAACGAAGGCCCGACGGGATCAGAATTTAATAGTGTCATTAGATCCCAAATTTTTTCATCGAGATAGCGACAGCACTTGCGTACTTAAATGGCGATAAATGGATAATAATCAGCTAGCCTTCTCATATTGATATAATTCCTGTTAGCGAGGAACAGGTATCTTTTATCATGTGTTACGGTCTTCTGTGTTAACTTTTGGGCACTTATCTTGCTGAAGTTTTCAGGAGAATAGGGAACTTCCATGCGAATTTTCATTTAAGCTATGTCTGCGATAATTCTACTGCAGAACTTTGATGTTATTTAAAGTACGTTCCATTAAAATTCTGTCATAAGTCGTTTACAATGCGCTTCCCACCTGAGTGAAGAGTCACAAAGACCAGCGTCATGCGAGCAGTCGTTTGACCGTTCATTTAATCAGTTAGGTAATTAGCCGCTGTGGTTCACCCGACTCCTACGCCTAAGACCTTTTGCCTCCCACTACTTCCGTTTTTTTGAAACTTGGTAAGCAATCTATGTGCCGAGGTGATCACGTGCTTAATTCCGACGTATGGCTAACAAATCATTAAACTCTTTTTTATTTCGATAAAGTAGACACGATAGCTGGAAATACACTTAGAAATTTTTCAGATATCTTTATAGATTATTCCGAAATATTCCAGCAGTGGTCTGTGTGGCGTTTTCACTCAAACTTTTATTAACTTCATTATTGTTACAAACCTACTACAACCAAGTGAAATATCATCCCGCGAGTGTACATCGCACTCTGCAGTGTCTTGACAATGAAATTGACAATTTAGGCAGCGATTACTCTGAAATGTGCCTGAGACGATAGAGGTTTAGGCATTTATACTATTTAGTTTAGGCGCGTTCTAGTCGACGGAGCCTCCTCACAGCCTAAAAAGTGGTTCAAACACCGCTGGAGTTTTGTGTGTTTTTGAAATAAAACTCCAAAGGATTTCAAACCTGCGGTTAATATGAGTCTTAGAGCTATTTTACGTGACTCCTGACTTGTCCTAATAAACAGATGTTTTAAGACTTACTATGTTTGTGACAATTGATAGTATTTTACTAATTCTGGCCTTCAAGCTAGGATTTACGATAAACTAAAGTCTTGATGCTCGTTTTTTGATAGAACTAGATGTTGACCGCGTTTGTTCGTGGAATTCTAGTCTTGTATGTTCGCTTTGCTCGAGGTGTTGAGTGTGCATACGTCTGCGAACAGAATATCTTCATTAGTGGCCGTGGAACCACGCGTGGGCACTTGTATCAGCGGGATATTGAGCATCTGTGCATCGCTGCTGTAAACGATGTTGGTCAGTGGGATTTCTTCACGGCGTGCGTGCATCACCAGGACAAGAAAAATGAGACCCAAGAGGCTGGGAGTTTGTATGCAGTCGGCTTCAGTTCCTTGGTCACTGCGTGCGCTACTAACAGTGCCTCATTTTCAGAGACGCGCGCAATCACCCAATCCTAAAGTTGTTGCCCCTTGTAAATGAATCCCTCCGAATATGCAAATCTCTGCATCATTTTCCAGACTACGTCGCGCTTGATGGTACCAAAAGCTGTCTGAATTTTATTCAGGCAGTGTAGAGGTGAACAGTCTTTTAGAACAGTTTTCCGGAATTTGACTGACCAACATATCATGTAACCGGTGCCGCGGTTCCTCTCGAATGCACACTGATCTTGGCGAGGCGACCATATGACGATTTAACCGAGATCGACGAGACAACGAGCCCGCGGCTCAATGGGTTAGTGCGTTGGACCTCTACTCAGTGGCGCGCCAACTTGGTTTGCTGATGACGGCTAATAATCCGGTAATGGTCATTTCCGTCTCCTTTCGTCGGTGATGTTCATCTGATTATACCTCTGGTCGTTGTGCGGCCGCTGGCAGGATTCTAGAGCGAGTCTCAAGGCAGAACGAACGACGGTGTTCCGTAACCGACCAGTGGGCCTTCATCCACCAAACGAATGTTTACCCGTGATCTTCACGAGAGACATCTAATGGACACCATCAGGGAGATATTGGTTTAATATACGCTAGTAGTGTCCGCATAGACCTGAGGGCTTTGTTTTTGCATACGCAGAAAAGTGAACCAGATGAAGCATTTCCAAGTTTGCCTGTTATGTTTTAGTCTGTTTGTTCCAACAGTTTTAAACTACAGCAACCAACCGTACTAAGGTACGCATCCTACAGCATCAGATGCGAACCTTATTTAGGTTTGGGTTTCCACAATTCACCAGCCAAATTTTAAAGCGAACTGGAGAGTTGCACCGTCTGTGTGCAATCGGTAAGTTGCTCAACGAGGACTTAATGTGACAAACCGAATGAGGAGCCCCCTGTCGAAAGAAGAAATCAAAATAAATGGTGTGGAAGCTGAATACCTATCCTAGATGACTGCACAAAACAAAATTAACAATAATTAAAATTGAACGGTCAGGAATAGGAAAACTGTGCACGTACTCGTCGAAGTTTTACGCTATCTCCAACAAGAGAAGGGCAGACATCCATCATTAAAGTCGCGCCTGACTACAGGTCAAATAACCAATAAAATTAGAAGCCATTAATGTATGACATTAAACTTCAATAAGAGCAAAAGACAAAGCAGGTTGCAAAGCGAAATCATTTATTTTAGGCGAGCATCGGAAGAGTGGCTGTTGTGTCTGAGAAGGTAAAAAAATGCAAAATAAAGTATATGCCGATGCATAAGAGTGAAAACTGACAACCAAAATGCACATTTCGTCTGGCTTCACCATTTCATGAATTTTCCCATTTACTTAACGATTACAGTAGTCGCCGGTTATTAAGCACACGGTTAATGAGCCCAGCCGCTTATTAAACCCAATTTGGTCTGGGCCCGAGGTGGGCTTAATAACCGGCGACTACTGTATATCATACCGTGTCATCACAAGACCAAGGAATGCACCAACTACTTCTCCCAAATTCCAAGACGATAGTACAGTCATAAAATGGTGTTACATTTTATTGCTGCAGTATCTTTGGCTTTCTCTCGTAGTGCTAGAACTTTCGGGTGCGCCGTTCAATTTTATCGTCTTATATGCATGTTTGTTTAGCGAGTTTTATAGGGTTATACACATGACTCAAAGTCTCACAATTCCCCTCTCTTTTGTTATTTATGAAGATACTCGTTTGGCACACCTCAACAAAACGGCCAAAGGTGAAGAAATTGCGCATCCGAGTACCCCCGCTGGACGATTTTGTGTAATTTTTTGCTGTTTCTCTTATCTGTTAGAGGAGCCATCTTGTAATAGCACATGTATTTTGAGAATGTATGTTTATTTTCGTTAGCTTTTATTCAACTGATGAAATATATCGCACCAATTTTCAACCGTATTGAAAATGCTGTTATGGGAAGGTTCTCACTCTTCGATAATTAAATGACATCTGCTTACTATTGCGACTACACTCTTGTAGTCTAGAAAACTGAGGGCTAGTAGGTGACTACCGCTGGAACTCCCCCGCTTTGGAGTGTTAAGAGTTAGAATCAGTACCCGATCTGTCAGTAAATGAACTGGTAAATCCGACCTACCGCTTGCTGGTGTGCGAGTAACCATCTTTAAT